GCACAGGAGCGTGAGGGCCCCAAGAGAGAGGGAGATCTGGGTTCACACCGAGACGCAGGCCAGGAAGCATGGGGCGGGTGGCCCAAAGGCCTCGCACCCTGGGGGCGCAGGTCCCTGTGGACCCACGATGGCAAGAAGCCAAAGAGGAAAAAAGGGCCGTGCACCGTGTCCTAGGCTTTTTTTTAATCCACTTCCAAAGGGGGAGTGGTTAATTAACCTGGTTGGCTGGTGGGCGCACAGGTGTGGCCAGGTAGGGGCCTGAGGCCACGCAGGGGCGTGGTGAAGGCCCGGTCTTCCAGCTCACAGACCTAATCGGTTTTAACCTGTGTGCCTGCCTAGAGCAGTGACCACAGCCCGAAGCCAGGAATTCCACCCGGGTCTCTGCAGAGCCAAGAGATATAGGCTGGCTTAATATTAGAAAAGCAATGTAATAACTAAAGAAGAAAACACTTAGTATAAACTGTTGTAGCAAAATCTCTAGAATAGGCGAATTCACCAAAATGTATACAAGTCCTCTCCGTGTGTGTGTGCACATCCTTACACACATACACATGTGTATGTTGCTTCTATGGGCAGATAAAAGTATGTGTGAATTCTGTATGGCAACAATACAAAGAAGAAATTATAAAAACCTATAATATCGAAGAATAAAATATTTAGGAATATGGAATATATGCAGATTTTCATGGTGATCTTAAGTATTTGATCTTAAGCATTATTACTATTTCAGCATTGTTGAATGTGCAAACTTTTGTTGGAAGAAATTAAAGGTGACTTTAATGGGGTGACCCTTTCTGCAGGAGTCAGTGATTTCGCTGTCTCTCCCTTCCAAGGGTTTTGAGCTGCCGTGGGATCTCTGTATGGAGTGATGGTTCCTGCTGGAGACTCAGTCCAATGAGCTGAAGTCATGGGAACCCAGGCTGAGCTTCGTTGGGCCATATAAGTATAAACAAGCTGTGGACCGCCATTTTAAATAACTTATACACATAACCCCACAAGGTGCAGCCGGCCTGAGGGGGATAGCTGAGGTTCTGGTTCTTGAAGGAGGCAGCTAACTGGAGCCTCTGAACCAGGGGTGCTGGTTAAGGGATGTGAGCTGCTGGGACATTGCCTTCCAGTGTAGAGTAGAAGCAGTACTGGGGGAGTGACTAGAGGATGGTATGGTAGTTACCAGGCAATATTCCCAACAGTTGTACGCTATGGATATGTTTGTTTCTCCATTACATAAGTTAGGAAATTGTAGCTCAGAGTGGTGTGGCTTCTTGCTCAAAGTGCCGTAACCAGTGATGGGAAGCAGATTAACTGCCAACCTAGGTCAGCCTCATTGGAGAGACCGCATCCTGAGGTCAGATACCAGGTGTCATGTGGATTTGTTGGTGATTTGAAGCCAGATAGCATATGATATTTCTGAAGTCAGATACTGCGTAATCTCAGGTCACATATTTGGCTCTAATGCAAATTGGAGGTAACGCACAGTGGTTTGGTTCTGATGCACCTTCAGAGCATGTGAGTTTGAAAGTAAGATGCAGTTGTCTCTATCTGAGGGGGATACAGAGTTTTGTGCCAGCTGCTGAAGGATGGAAGAGTCACTGTTTGCAGCAGATTAGGTAGAGGTAGGAAGGCTGTGAGTGGTAAGAAGTGGTAGGCTGATTAATGGTTCCCAAAGATATCCATGTTTTAATCCCTGAGACACTTGAGTATATTACCTCAAGAGGGACTTTGCTCGTGTAAGGATCTTGAGATGAATTATTCAGTGTGTCCAGTGTAATCACAATGGTACTTAGGAAAGTGAAGCAGGAGGGCCAGTTAGATTGAAATGTGAAGGGAACAGGCCAGAGTGATGTGATTTCAGTAATGATACAATGTTGCTAAGAATGCAACAAAGAATGCAAGAGGTCTTTAGAAGTTGGAATAGGGAAAGAAATGGATTCTTTTTAAAAGATTTATTTTTATTTGAAAGGCAGCATGAGAGAGATTACATCAGCTGGTTCACTCCTCAAATGGCTGTAATGTGTGGGGCTGTGCCAGAAAGCCTAGAGCCTGGAGATTCTGGGTTACCCACATTGGTGCAGGGGCCCAAGTACTTGGGGTGTCTTCCACCACTTTCCCAGGCTGTAGCAGAGAGCTGGATCAGAAGTGGAGCAGCTGGAACACGAACCGGCGCCCATATAGGATGCCGGCATTGTAGGTAGTGGCTTAACTGGTTACACCACAACACCAGCCCCAAAAGTGTATTCTTATCCAGAGCTGTCAGATGAAGCATAAGCCTGCCAACATTGTAATTTTAGCCTAGCAAAACCCATTTTGGATTGATGACCTCCAGAATAAGATGGTAAATTTGTGTAGTCTTAGGCTGTGAAGTCAGTGGTAATTTATTTTGGCATTGATAGGAATTTAATACAGTGAGCAACAGAGAAGTGAAGAGGGCCAAGAGTACCTGAGATCAACATGTGGTCTGGGTGTCTGTGGTTAAAGAAAGGAATAGCGATAGGTAAGGAGACTTTATTTATTTATTTTTTTTAAAGATTAATGTATTTGAAAGGCAAGTTACAGAGAGGCAGAGAGAGACGGGGTGGTGGTGGTGGTGGTGTCTTCTATCTGCTAGTTTACTCCCCAGATTGCTGCAACAGCCAGAGCTAGGCCAATCCAAAGCCAGGAGCCTCTTCCGGGTCTCCCCACGTGGGTGGGGAGACCTTGTCCATCTTCTACTGCTTGGCCATCTTCTACTGCTTTCCCAGGCCATAGCAGAGAGCTGGACTTGAACCCATGCCCATATGGGATGCTGGCATTGCAGGTGGCAGCTTTACCCACTATGCCACAGGGCTGGCCCCGGCAAAGAGACTTTCAGAGCACTAATGAGCATCCTTGGTAATGAGGCCAGGGAGGGTTTGGAGCAAGATGAGATACTGATTTCACTGCTTTGTAATTTCTCTGTGCTATGTATAGAGTGGCAGCTGGGGAGACCAAGGAGACGTCTATGGTGGTGGGTGGTGGGTAGTTGGAGATGTGCGAGAGGCATGATGTGCATAGGAAGAAGTGTGAACTGTTATCAGGGCTTCACTGAGAAGAGTGAGCCCAGGTTTGTGTCTGGGACGATGATTAGGCACTGACTGGCAGGAGAGGAGGCCTCTGCATGCTGAGCCCAGAAGGTAAAATGGCGGTTCTCTGTCAACCTGTTGTCAGACTGAGGAGATCACTGAGGTAATCATGAGACAGTCATGGCCTCTGGTACCAGTTCCTGGTATTTTCTGACTTGGGGGCCTGGGGAGGTGGGTGAGCAAGAAGTTGTTTTGGTGGATAGAATAGGGGTCCTGGCAGAGGCAGTCTTCATGGGCCTTACTGTCCTTGTCATTGCAGAGCTGCTGACCTGAGGATGTTTGTGTCCTTTTCCTGGGAGACTGGGGGCTCCTTGATGAGGCTCAGACTCCTGGACCATGATGCACTTGTAGCCTCGCTGGGTGAGGTCCTCACACCCGGCCCATCAGTCTATCTCTGTCTGTCCCAGGGTAGGATTATGAGCACTTCATTCATTGGTCTCTAGGAGTAGGTGTCATTGACAAGCTGTATAGTGTGTCATCTCTTCTTGTTGGGAAGCCCTGAAGCTGTTGATTCGTTCTGAGAGGAGGAGCATGAAGAGGTGCGGAATCACCACACAGACCCTGGGAGTCGGGTGAAAGCAGGCCTGAGGCAGCAGCCTGCAGACTCGTTTATTTCAGTTGGTACAGCAACTTAAATAGCCAAGGCAGCCGATCTGGTCAAGGGGCAGTCTATGCCCTAACCAATCACAGCCTGTTGCCAGGCAGGCTCCATTGTCATGTGGTTTCCAAAGCCATCCAATCACAGCCTGGTGCCAGGCAGTTTCCGTTGCCAGCGGCCATCTTGGCATGGCCTTCTCATTCCATCACATAAACCACAGAGCCAAGGGCATGGGTCTTGAGATCTGCAGTTTACTCAGTGATCTCATTAGGTCTGATCATCCTGTTCACAATGATGGTGCCTCTCTACCCAAGGTTCTGGCCCTTTTTCCAGATGACACTTCCTGGGGCTGGACTAAGCCAGAGTTGTAAGTACTCACACAATCATTACTCATGGGGATCTGTGGGCTGTTCCTGCAAAACCCAACTTCAAAGTTCTCTTTGTAGTAATAGGATGTGTTGCTGTGGACCTTTATTGGCTGCTCACCTGTCCTGGCCTTCTCAGGAACTGCATTTTCCAGACCACATTTAGCCATGCACTTAGGGCAAGGGGAGGCACCTGGTTGCTTTTCAGGTGGATGTGACTCCATCTACAGAAAGAAAAGCCCACAGTGAGTGGGAATCAGGGAAGGGCACAATGTCAAGGTCAGGTTCAAAATGCGCAACATTTAGGTGTTCAGTGTTTCTTCTCAGGCCAGTGGCCACGCAGTTTCTACTTATCTTTCTTCCTTAACACCGAAATTTATCATTTTCAATTTGACTTCTAGCCCCTTTCCATCCTTCACCACCCTGGCTTCTACCTTACACCCATTCCCTTCCATTACATTTTCTGTCAGTGATTTTCCTGCCATGTCTGCCTATACATAGTGTTCATGAGATGTGCACATATTCTCATATAGTCCTTGAACACCAACTACTCACTATAATTTTCCTGGGCCTGGACACATCCTGCATAGCACTCACCAGTTGCCAAAACCCTGCCGTGCTCTTCCCTCGTTTCTTTGCTCTTCAGCCTCCCCATTTTGTGACCTTCTGAGGCCCAGTGCCTCTTGGCAGCCTCTTTCTCAGACTGATTGGGTGTTTCCTCCATGTGTACTTTATCAGTATTTCTTTGCTTTCAGGGTGCTGGCATGAAGTGGAGGATGAGGAGACATCCAATAAGAGTGTTTCTTCAGAAACACAGGACAGAGTTTTTGTAGCAGATCTGAAGACCCGTGTACATGACACGTGTGCCCCACTGAGGGATATCTTACATCTGGCTGAATACCAGGGGGACATGTGGGAAACTATTCAATAATGTAAAGTTTGAGCAGCACCAGAAGCAATCCAGAAGATAAGGTTTTTCTGCAACGTCTGAAGAGATTAAGATTACAGAAAATGTGGACAATTCTGTGCCAGTGTTCCCACCGTTATCATACAGCAGAACACTTGTATTGCAGATGTGGGAAAGTTCACAGTGGACAAAGGCCTTAGCAGTACGGGGAATGTTCTGTTGCTGTTCGACCTAACAGCTCACCCTGGTAAATCTGGAATAGCACCCTTTGTGAGGACACCAGTCAGAAGGGAAACCTCAGCCATGTGAGTATGCACACCTGGGTGAGTCCCTGTGCACGCCAACTCTGCATGAAGCTTTCAGGAGCTGTGTTTCACTATTTAAACTGCCAAGGGCCTTTGGTAGTGACAGAAGTCCTCCTGCCACTACCATGTGGGAGAATTGCATTATTATTCTTGTCACCCCCACATGCTCATGGCAGGCAGACTTCTGGAAGGAATTAACAATGGTCTTACAGCCTATGGGCGGGGGTCTGTATTTCCTCCTTTTTGATGGTTTTGGGCGTGGAAATAGATTTTATTTTTCATATATATTTTTAAAGATCTATTTATTTGAAAGGCAAAATTATAGAGACAAAGAGAGAAACATATCTTCCATCCTCTGGTTCACTCCCCAGATGGCCCCAACAGCTGGGGCTGGGCCAGTCTGAAGCCGGGAGCCAGGAGCTTCTTTCAGGTCTCCCACAAGCCTGCAGGGGCCCAAACACTTGGGCCATCTTATTGGGGAGCTGGACTAGAAGGAACTGGCACCCATATAGCACGCCAGCACTGCAGGCTGTGGCTTAACCTGCTGCACCACAGCACCAGTCCTATGGAAACAGTTTTATTTCAGAGGACACAGACAGGTTCTGCAGTAACTTGCAGAGGCTGAACTTTTGTGGAAGTGTCCAGCCTCTAAACCACCCAGGCCCGGAACTTGCTGCCTTATATTTGAACAAAACAGGTCTGTTAATCTTGGGGTTTTAGTCATTATGTGGAGTGCATTGAGGAAACAGTTGGGTTCTGACAGCTTGAAAGGGTAAATAGCTCTTGTGAGACTACCCACTTTGCTGTGCCTCAGAGAGCACTGTACGATGGCTGAGAAGAGCTCTGACTCCTGTTTTGATGCAATGTGCATTGCTGCCAAAGGCTGTCTGAAAAAGACTGCTGGGGGCCGGCGCTGTGACGCAGTGGGTTAAAGGGTTAAAGCCCTGGTCTGAAGCACGGGCATCCTATATGGGTGCCAGTTCTAGTCCCGGCTGCTGCTCTTCTCTTCTGACCCAGCTCTCTGCTATGGCCTGGGAAAGCAATAGAAGATGGCCTAAGTCCTTGGGCCCCTGCACCCGCTTGGGAGACCTGGAAGAAGCTCCTGGCTTCGGATCAGCATAGCTCCAGCCGTTGTGGCCATCTGGGGAGTGAACCAGTGGATGGAAGACCTCTCTCTCTAACCCTGTGTTTCAAATAAATAAAATAAAACTTTGAAAAAAAAAATGGCTGCTTTCCAGCCTCACATTAAAAAAAAAAAAAGCTTGCTGGGTTTTTTGGAGACAAATCATGTGGCCCAGATGCTAGTTTTACTCTTAGGTTTGCATATTATTTTTATTTAACAGGTAGAGATATAGACAGTGGGAGAGAGAGACAGACAGAAAGGTCTTCCTTCCGTTGGTTCACTCCCCAAATGGCTGCACCGATCTAAAGCCAGGTGCAGGAGCCCAAGCACTTGGGCCATTCTCCACTGCCCTCCCGGGCCACAGCAGAGAGCTGCACTGGAAGAGGAGCAACTGGGACTAGAACCGGCACCCATATGGGATTCCGGTGCTGCAGGCGGAGGATGAACCAAGTGAGCCACGGCGCCGGCCCTACTCTTAGGTTTGGAGGTGTCTGTAAGAGGGGACAGTTGTAACAACCTCTAGAGTATGTGGGAGCAGTGTATTTGACCCCTTGTTCTCACTGGATGTTCTGTATTCTCAGGCACTGAAGGGGAAGCTGGCCTTTGGTACCTGCCAAGGAACCTGCATTCAATTGGCAGGTGTGACTGCCTGGAAGCCCTCCAGGAGCCAGGTGGGAACTGTAATTGGTTCAGAAACACTAGGTGTGACATGTAAGGAGTTAGGGAGATTCCAGGAATTTTTCACTTCTAAATGAACATCTAGATGTTCCCACGGTGTGGTATGCAAGATAACAATATTCAGAAATTTTCAGACCCTCCACAGGTGGTTACTGTAACTCAGAGCAAATCTAAACAGGATGATTCCTAAAGACCCCGGATTGTTTACCTCAGGACCAGTATCCATAGGCAGGAAGCCAGAGGGAGAACTGATGTAGCAAGGGTGTGGCTGTGACTTATCCAGTACTGGTGAATCGTGTAGGAATGGCTTTACTGGGTGGCAATTTTTGCTGTAGGGCTACATGCTGTATGAGCGATGGAGGAGTCACTTTAGGGTGGTCTGTAGAACCTAATTTGTCTGTTTCCCAAATTTCCTAAGGTAGAATGTTAATTGTTGAATTATTTTTTCTAATACAGTAATGCAGTCTGTAAGTTCTCCCATAAATACTACTCTGTGTGTGTGTAGGGCCAATTGGAACACGGGTTATTGTTTGGGACTTTCTTCAGGCTTGTAAGAGTCCACATTGAGTTCTCTGTACTCTGCAGGCTCATCAAATGGAAGACATGGACTTGGCATTTCAGAGAAGTCCTGCTTCTCCCCTGTTCCTTCCTGAGGACTCCCTGGATCCAGTGAGTAGACTGAGATCATAGCTCATTAGATGCTATGGACAGTGCCCAGGACGTCTCATTCTTGGCCTACAGCTCCCCAAGACCTAGAGAGAAGGTACTGAGTCCCAGGTAAGAAAACAGGTACGAGAGGGACCAGAACCAGTAGTTATGTTGTTAAGCAGGGCAACACAGGTACTGGGAGCTTTTAGGGAGGCTGGCTGGGGCTTGGTGTTCTGGGAGTAGAAGCACAGCTTCCAGGTACAGGGATCACAGTACACCCTCTGGGTAGGGATGGACAGTACTATGGTTTTAAAGTTAAGTTTTCTGCAAAGGGCCATGGGTAAAAGCTTTGGTCCCATGGCTGGGGAGGTTGCTATTGGGAGGTGGTAGAACCACTAAGCCTCTGCCTGTGGAGCCAGCATCCCATAGAGTTGTTGGTTCATGTCCTGGCTGCTGCTCTTCCCATCCAGCTCTCTGCCTATGGTGTGGGAAAGCAGTGGAAGATGACCCAAGTGCTTGGCCCTCTGCTCCCATGTGGGAGACCCTGGTTTGCAGCTTTGGATTGGCTTAGCTCGGCCATTGTGGCCATTTGGGGAGTGAACCAGTGGATGGAAGACTTTTCTCTCCATCTGTAACTCTGCCTCTCGAATTAAAAAAAAAATCCTTACAGCAAAAAAGTGGTAAATTCCAACTGCTACACCTTTATTACTGAATTTGCAAGGATGGAAGAACTGAAGTTTTCATATGCTCCTCTTAGGAATCCAAAGAAAACAACCATTAGGTAAGAAAAGAGTTATATATTCACATACACTGTGATGGGCATTGAACTCTGAGGTATTAACAAAACAGAAATGAAGCCCATCATGTGAAGAGCCGAATTCAAATGTCTATAGCAGTTTTACTTGCACTTACTTAATATTAACCCCATATATCCACAAACAGGCAATAAACAAATAATGGTATATTCCTAGAACATCCCACTTCATAGCAATAAAAAAAGAACTGCTTTTAGAAGCATGATTAATCAATTTTTTTTTTTTTTTTTTTTGACAGGCAGAGTGGACAGAGAGAGAGGTCTTCCTTTGCCGTTGGTTCACCCTACAATGGCCGCCATGGCTGGCGCCGCAAGGCGGAGGATTAGCCTAGTGAGCCGCGGTGCCGGCCTAATCAATTTCAATATAAATATGCTGTGTGAGTGCACTTGAGGGGAAAAAAAGTATGATTTCAATCTTATAAAGTTCTCTTCCATTAGCTGATTCACTCCATAAATGTCTACAATAGCCAGGTCTGGGCCAGGACAAAGCCGGGAACTCCAGGTCTCCCACATGGGTAGCGGAGGCCCAAGTATTTGGGCCATTTCCCACTACTTTCCCAGGCATATTAGCAGGGAGCTAGATAAGAATCAGAGTAGGTGGAACTCAGACCGGCAATCTGATATGACATGGCAGCAACACAATGCCAGCCTGGAATACATGTGTGGCTCCAGGCTGTCACTAAGACAAACATGTCATATCCAGCACATTTGGAATGGATTTTAATCATCCATCTCAGTAATATCTAAGATACAGAAAATACGGAGTTAGGGTAGACAAACTGGACAGAATCAGTGATTTGATGTCAAACTGAGAAAATGATAAATTCTAACAGACCAGTGACTTAGCAGCATTATTATACAAATGAAAAAGTATGTGAAAAAGTATGTATGGGTTAACTCAGACACTTACCAAAAGTCATACAAATAAATATACTTTGTATCCTGATTATAATCAATCTGTTTTAAATAGGGGCAGCTAATAAGAATTAACTTTATATAACATTTTAATTTGATACACCTACTTACATTTTGTGCATTACAGTTAGTAAATAGCATTTTCTTTTGACAGGCAGAGTGGACAGTGAGAGAGAGAGACAGAGAGAAAGGTCTTCCTTTGCCGTTGGTTCACCCTCCAATGGCCGCCGTGGCCGGCGCGCTGCGGCCGGCGCACCGCGCTGATCCGATGGCAGGAGCCAGGAGCCAGGTGCTTTTCCTGGTCTCCCATGGGGTGCAGGGCCCAAGCACCTGGGCCATCCTCCACTGCACTCCCTGGCCACAGCAGAGGGCTGGCCTGGCAGAGGGGCAACCGGGACAGAATCCGGCGCCCCGACCGGGACTAGAACCCGGTGTGCCGGCGCCGCTAGGCGGAGGATTAGCCTAGTGAGCCGCGGCGCCGGCCAGTAAATAGCATTTTCTTAGAAAATTTTTGAAATGGCATTTTGGGCTGGCGCCGCGGCTCAATAGGCTAATTCTTCACCTAGCAGCGCTGGCACACCGGGTTCTAGTCCCGGTCGGGGCGCCGGATTCTGTCCCGGTTGCCCCTCTTCCAGGCCAGCTCTGCTGTGGCCCGGGAGTGCAGTGGAGGATGGCCCAGGTGCTTGGGCCCTGCACCCCATGGGAGACCAGGAAAAGCACTTGGCTCCTGCCTTCGGATCAGCATGGTGCGGCGGCCATTGGAGGGTGAACCAACGGCAGAGGAAGACCTTTCTCTCTGTCTCTCTCTCTCACGGTCCACTCTGCCTGTCAAAAAAAAAAAGAAATGGCATTTTGAAGTTATGCACTGAGTGACCTATCTAGGATTAGAAGTAAAATAACCCATTGTTTTGCATGGAAGTAGGATAAGTAATGATGATCATGAAATGATAAATGATGAAATATTAAGGATTTATGTAGCTTTATAACAGTTTTTCTATTTATGGTTATATCTATCAAAGGTAGAACATGCACTTTAATTGTATATTTTGAGAAAATTGAAAATGGCATGAAGAAACATTTGGTTTCAGGGATGAAAACTTAATATTTTGAATGCATTCAGTTTAAGTTGGTTATATTTCAAACTGTTTAAAAATTTATTATATATGTTTATTAGGTTATTTGTAATTACTCTATCAATATATCAAAAAGAATCAGGCTTCATTTAGTATATTCTTGTATTTTTAGACTTGAGAAAGTGATGCTGAATGTTTTTAATTTTACTCTGTGAGAGGTAGAGAGATCGATAACTCCCATCCACTGGTTCACTCCCAAATGCCTTCAATAGCCAAGACTGGGTCAGGCCAAAGCCCAGAACTGAGAACTTACTTGGGGTCTCCCACACTAGTGGACTTGAACCATTGACTTCTGCCTCCCTGGGTATGCATCAGCAGGAAACTAGAATGGAATGTGGAGCCAGAATCTGAGTCCAGGCACCCGGATATCGGATGCATGCATCCAGGTGCTAACTTATCTACTGAGCCAAACTCCCACTTCTCTGAATATGTTAATAATGCAGTTAAACATAATAGTATATGGGCATTATGTGGAGCACAGGACAAAATCTTCTTGAATGAAAGAAATTGCAACATGTCTTTGTTGTTGGACTATTATTTGTTAAAGCAATAAACACATGTTATCAGAAAGAAAATAGTAAAAAAAAAATACTGAAGATACGCAGGTGGCAAATAAACACATGTAAAAATACTCAACATAGGGCTAGTGCTGTGGCTTAGCAGGTAAAGCCGCCGCCTGTAGTGCCGGTATCCCATGTGGGTACTGGTTCAAGACCCGGCTGCTCCACTTCCGACCCAACTCTCAGCTATGGCCTAGGAAAGCAGTGGAAGATGCCCCAAGTGCTTGGGCCCCTGCATATACTTGTTAAATGGGCTAAAATTAAAGATTAGCCATATGAAGTATTAGCAGAGATACAAGAGGAACTAGAAGTGATGCAGTATTTCTGGGAATGCAATGGAGAAAAACCATTTAGATCACAGCTTGGGCCAGTGCTATGGCATAGTGGGTAAAGCCATCACCTGTAGTGCCAGCATCCCATATGGTTGCTGGTTCGAGTCCCAGCTGCTTCACTTCCAATCCAGCTCCCTGCTAAGGTGCCTGAGAAAGCAGCAGAGGATGGACCAAGCCTTTGGGCCCCTTCACCCACATTGGAGACCTGGAAGAAGCTCCTGGCTTCTAGCTTCTTATCAGTTCAGCTCTGGCTGTTGCAGCCATTTGGGGAGTGAACCAGCAGATGAAAGATCTCCCTCTCCTCCCTCTCTCTGCCTTTCTGTAACTCTTTTAATAAATTAAAAAAAAATGGATCACAGCTCGACATATCTTAAAATGGTAAGCATTCACCTACACTGTAATTCAGGAATTATAGTTTGAGTTACCAACACAAAGTAAATAACACCATATAAAAATTGAATGCAAATATTTACAACAGCTTTGCCTGTAAAGAGAGCCTAACCAGATGAACAGATGAATAAATAGTGGCTTACCCCAGAACAGAATATTCCTCAATAACAAAGAACTTTTCACATTAGTCATTGTTGAATCTAAACAACGACGCAACGTGAAGAAAACTAGTAAAATAGAGCCCATACAACCACTTGATAACAATTTAAAATTCTAGAAAGTGCAAACTAACTTATTTTAAGGAAAATCAATGGTTACCTAGAGGGCTGGGGATGGCCAGGAGAAATTTTATGTAGAAGGGAATGAGGTGAATATGAAAGACAGGTGAGTTTTCCAAATGATTGTGATGACAGTTTCAAGACTTTACCAATTATACACTTCAGATTAGTGTTCTTTTTTGTATGTCAGTTATACAAGTTATCCTTTGGTTAAATCTGTTTATTTATTCGAAGGGCAGAAAGGAGACAGATCTGTGTGCTAGTTTACTCCTTAAATGGCTGCAACCAGGGCTGGATCAGGCAGAGCCAGGAGCCAGGAACTCCATCCAGGTCTTTATGTGGGTGGCAGGGCCCAAGCACTTGGGGCATCCTCTGCTGCTTTCCCAGGCCCATTAGCAGGGAGCTGGATCAGAAGTTAAGAACCACGTCTCAAACAGGCCCTCTAAGATGGGATGTTGGTATCACAAGTGGTGGGTTAACCCACTGTGCCACAGTGCCAGCCTCTAAATATTTACTAGAACTTTAAAAAGTGTCTCAATTAAGAGCCTAGATGTCTTTCTTTGCCTGGAAAATAAGCTTCATAATCTGATAGGTTCTACCACCTCCCTCCTGATGGCCTGGGAGGAGAAGCCTTGCCTCACTGTCAGCAAACATTGGCAAGCAGGAAATATTCTTGCCACCTGAATCAACTGGAATGCTGACCTGGT